ATTGTGCGGGCCCGAGGAATTAAATAATATTGAGAGGGGCTCGAGCCCTTCCAAGCCCCATGAAGTCGGCGCCTATGATAATGATGATGATGATGATAATGATGTGGTTATGACGATAATTAATGAAAGATTATGGTGATGATAATGATAGCGCAGAAGTTGATGACGACGACGATGATGATGATGATGAGAGTGGTGGTGATGATGATGACGCTTACCCTGGTATGTTGTGGTAGCTTGACGCTGTAGTAGTAACTTCTGACGTCACCATCGTCACCTACATAGAATGATCCTTTCAATGCTATCGGCTTTCCATCCTGATTCGGTGAGTTGTGATGATGATGATGACGACGATGAGTTATGATGATGATGACGACGACGATGAGTTGTGATGATGATGAGTTGTGATGATGATGAGTTGTGATGATGATGAGTTGTGATGATGATAATGTTGATGAGTTGTGATGATGATCTTGACGATGATGATAGTGATTACAATATAATAATATATTATGATGATTGATATTTTATGACATGATAATATAATATAATATAATTTATAATATAATATTGAATAATAGACTCAAACTAGGAGACCTTGTAAAAGTTGGGTTTTTCCAAAAAAGCGATTCTATTTTTAGCAAACCCCGGTTTTTCCCACAGTCTGTTGTTGTTTTGGTTTTCCCGACCGGGCGATTTAGTTGGCGTTGTTGGCTGGGAATTTCCTGAAAGTTATTTATAAAATTATTCCAAACTATCATCATCGTCTTCGTCATCGTCATCATCATCATCTACATCATCATCTACATCATCGTCATCATTACTTTTATCTCGTATTCTTCTAGATCTCGCGCTTCTTTTACGATCATCATCATCGTCGTCGTCATCATCATCGTCATCCTTGCTTGATTCGTTCCTTCGTTTTTCCATTTTTGCTGTTCGAAAATAATATTTTTCAAACTAAACGATATCATTATCATCATCGTCGTCATCATCATCGTCATCATCACCATCGTCATCGTCGTCGTCAACAGCAGCAGTAGAAGCAGCAGCAGCAGCATTACTTACTTCTTTCATATTTTCTCTCAGCCTCTCTAAATTTTTCCTCTTGCAATTTCATCAGCATCGAGACGAACTGGTAAATAATGATAATAATAATAATAATAATAATAATAATTATTATTATTATTATTATTATTGTTATTATTATCGTTACTTCGTGGTAGTTAAGTTTGCCGTCATCGTTAACATCGACTCTCTTGAAGAAGGATTTTACCTCTTCGTCACTCAGTCTATCGCCTTTCTGAATGAATGAAGGAAGAATGAATGAATGAATAAATGAATGGATGGATGAATGAATGAATGAATGAATGAATGAATGAATGAATGAATGAATGAATGAATGAATGAATGTATGAATGACTAGGCGAAAGAACGAACAAATAAAGGACATACTTTGATAATATATACATATATGCAAACCATGGAATCCTAGAACTGGGTATTTTTCAAGCAAACACGTGCAAACACACAGACACAGACACAGACACACACACACACACACACACACACACATAGATACTTCTGTCAAAATTTTAGTTAATTCTTTGCAGTCAACGTATCCATCGCCATTGATGTCGAAAGTATGGAAAACCGCAAGCAGTTCTTTTGTAGTTGTTCTTTCGTTCTTTCGACAAATGTTACAAAAATCACTAAACTGCAACTGGCCTACGTGTGTTATTATAATTGATTAATTTTATTAATATAATTATTATTATTATTACTATAATTATTATGATTATTATTCCTACTCGTTTTATTGGACCAGTATTTTTCAATCTTTCTTCTAGACATATTCCTGCCAGAAACTAAGAGGGCTGGGGACAATAATAAAGACGTTAATAGTGATAATAACAACGATAATAATAGTACTAATAATAATAATAATTAATAAATAATAATAATAATGACACCTCTATTCAAATCTTTTTTCGATTTCAATGGCTCTGAAAGCGAATCCATAACTGATAGATAGGCCACTTTGCAATCGAGAAAAAATTTATCGTCGTCATCGTCATCTTTATTATTATTATTTTTGTTGCTGTTGTTATTGTTACTACTATTATTTCTGGGTTTGGGTTTAGGAGTTAGTGAAACAGAATTTCTGCTGTCAGATCTTGACAAAGATCTTTCTAGTTTTACGGACATTTTATTTTCGTAATTATTTGAATTATTATTATTGAAATAATAAAATAGTTTTAATAATTATTAATCTATCGTTATAATTTTAATTAAATTATTAGTTATTTTAATATTTATTGAAAGAAATTAAATAAAATAATAACAAAGAAAGCACTTTAAACAATTTTACGGTTGCTATAACGACGCCTTTTAGACAATACAAAAGTGAATTCAAGTTAAATGTTTTTTTAATTTTCAATTGAAAATCAATTTTTAAGCAAAATTAGCTCGTTTTTGTTAATTAACTAAATTAATTTAGTTTATTTAAGTTATAATTTGTTTAAAATTGTAAAGAAAATCATAATTATCACACAAAATTTGATTTTAGCAACTTTGCTTTGCTTATTATTATTCTAGTTATATGTATCAAACAGAATCTTATTAAACAAAGTAGCATCATAAAATGAATAAAGATACTTTTTTCAAAAATTTAAAATATTCTCAATTTGATTTCATTGCGATATCGATGATGATGATTGTGACTTGACTAATTAAAAACATCAAATAAAATTTATTTAATAGGATGGGTAATTCGTAGCGAAATCGTTGGGGGGAAATGACGTCATGTTAACAGTAGTTATTTAACTGCATGGTAGTTAATCAGCCGGTATAAAGGTTATATTCAATTCCTATCAAATAAATTTGACCAAATATCATACGCATGCAGACCTAAATAAAGAATTAAATAGATAGATATATATACGTAGTTATAATACATTTATAATGTTGTATTTACACATTCAAATTGTACAATTGTGTTATTGTGTAGTCTCAAATTATTTTGAATTCTCTCAGAAAATTTAAACTTTTTACTTATTAGTTACTTTTATCAACAATTTTTAAAAAAATTTCAATGTGATTTTATCGTGATATTGATAATGATTTTTGTGATCTGACTGATTAAAAAGCATCAAAGAAAATTTTAAAAATAGGATGGAGAATTTGTTACATTGGGATATTCGTATATAAAGCGAAAAAAATTTTAATATAAAAGCGCTTATAAATCTACGCTTATTGACTCAGCTTGGCTTGGCTTGACTTGGCTCGGCTTGGAATCGGATGTTAAGCAAGGTGTGGTCTCCAACTATTTTGAATTCTCCCCGAAAAATTTGAACTACGTGCGTACATATATAGCACTGATTACTGTTGCTTTTACAATGAATTTATATTATATATATGTATCTAAATTCTCAATTAGATTTCATTGCCACATTGATGATGATGATTGCGACCCATGGGTATATATAATATATCCATGTTGTGACTTGACTAATTAAAAGATATCAAAAACAATTTATTAAGTAGGATGGGTAATTCGTCGCGAAATTGTTGGAGGAAATGACGTCATGTTATTTTAGTGAGTCATGGTAGTTAGTGAGCCGGTATAAAGGTTATATTCAATTCCTATCAAATAAATTTGACCAAATATCATACGCAGGCAAAACTAAATAAAGAAATAGATAGATAGATAGATATATACTTAGTTATAATACATTTATAATGTTGTATTTACACATTCAAATTGTACAATTGTGTTATGGTGTAGTCTCAAATTATTTTGAATTCTCTTAGAAAATTTAAACTATTTACTATGTAGTAGTTACTTTTAATAACAATTTATAAAAAAAAATTCAATTTGATTTCATCGCCATATCGATGATGATGATTGTGACCTGACTGATTAAAAAGCATAAAAAAAAAAAAAAATTTGAAAATAGGATGGAGAATTTGTTATATTGGGATGTTCGTATATTAAGCGAGACAAATTTTAATATAAAAGTGCTTATAAATCTACGCTTATTGGCTCGGCTTGGCTTGGCTTGGCTCGGCGTGGCTTCGCTTTGAATCGGATGTTAAGCAAGGTGTGGTCTCAAACTATTTGAATTCTCCCTGACAAATTTGAACTGCGAACGTATATATATAGCACTGATTATTGTTGCTTTTATAATGAATTTATATTATATATATATATATATATATATATATATATATATAGTGACTAGAATCCATGTATACAAATAATTAAATAAGATTATATATTTATATAAAAAGCAATACAGCAGATTCAACCAGCCAATCAGAAAGTTTCGAAGGCGTTCGTTCGATGACGTCAATTTAGTATGGTTAGCATTGTGGTTAAGACTGTATAATAGTGTAGTTCATACATTAAATAAGTTTTTTACTGATGTGAATAATTGAAATGATGAAAATGTATGGTTGAAACGAGTATAAATAGGTGCTGAGACAACATGAAAATCAGATCAGGCATTCTGCCTCGCTTGAAGCAGTCTGTCTGATCTCATTTATTTTATTTTTATATTTTTTATATTTTATTTATTTTATTATATAGAGTTATATAAAGTTATATAGAGTTTGCATGTCTGTGGTTTGTGTGTTTGTACGTTGTATTTTTTTTATATTTTAGGTGGGTTCTTTAGCGGTTGCTCATACATACATACATACATCATGTTTGTCTGTGTGGTAGTATTTTATGTTCTGTTTTACTCTTTTTTCTCTTTCTTCATGAGTCTTAAGTTAAGTTATTGAAACATAGGTAGGTGAGGTAAAAATTAATTTATTATATAGGTAGGCTAGGGCATAAGGTAATTTAGTTACATAGGTAGGCTAGGGACTTCTATTCTTTTACTCTACTTGGTGGTGTGTTTTTTGTTTTGTGTTTTTGTTTTGTTTTTTGTTTCACAACATACATATAACAGGTACGCGGTGGTTCCTGGTTTTAGTGAGATTTTTACTGATTG